ACAAAGAGTACTCCATCTTTCTGTGCTATACCTCTGAGGATGCCAGTCACAGCTGCTGGCGATGCGTCAGGTTCTACAATGCCAAGACCATGGCCATACAGCCCGGAAAATCTACAACAACTAATGAACTCCGGCTGTGAAAGCCTTCGGTAACATATTGTTTTAATTGTTTTTATGCCTTTGCATGTATTTTAATTTTGGTTTTAATTGTTTTAATGATGTGTTGCTGTTCTTTCTGGTTGGTTTTAATGGTTTTTAAATGTGCTTTTGTTATGTATGTTCTCTTTTGTTAGCCATTTTGGTGGCCCTTGTGAGGGCAGAGAGGTAGGATATGTGTTTCGTAAAATAAAAAAACAACAATAAACCTACAAGATTGGCCCCAGCTTCTCATTAAGTGTACTCCAAACTGCCCCCATGTGGAACATCACATCTCCTAGCAGATATTTCACAGCGGAATGGAGGGAAAAAAGGGAAGAGATCACTTTTTTATTATTACCATTTGTTTTGTTGTTGTTTATTGGCTGTGATTCCATTTGAAAAGAACATTGTACCATTGAACCCACATCATGCAGGAGAAAGGTAGCAGGCAGATTACGAACAAAATTTACATTCACAAAGTCTCTACTTGAAGTCACCTTCTCGGCTGCTCTGGAAGGTGCTGCATGCAACTCGGAGAGGAAAGAAAAGAAGGAGCATTTTGATCTGTTGCCCTATTAGAAAATGCCCGGCGAGTTCTTCTTCTTTTTGTTGTTATTTCTTTTAAATCATCATGTGAATTGTGAAAACAAGCATCGTTTAAAAAGACATTTACTGAAAGATGTTGCCGATTGTTCACATATAACCGGAATCTCGGTTTAACACAGAATAAAACAGATACAGAGAAACGAGTTCGGATATACATAGGACATTACATTCAGGTCACAACGACGGGTTCCTAACAACAATTGGTTCTAGTGATCTAAGAGCCTGCGCGCAAGATGTGTTGAACATCATGGGCATGTAGGTTCTTGGCTGGAGGACTGAGCAGATGGAAACAAAGTTGACATTTGGGAACTGGAGAAACATAGACGGAGAAATACCAAAGTGATTGAGCACACAATCTAAATCCTGATGTGTGTGTGTGTATATGTCTGTGTTTTGATTGAAACATAGAGTAGCATTCAGAATTAATATTGCAGTCTGATTTCATATGGCTTTCTCTAAAGATAAATGCAAGTCCGTGAACGTCAATGCCAAACTCAGTCAGTCAGTCGGCTGCCCCCTAAAAATGAAGGCCGGTGGATTAATACTGCTGTATTTCTTTGCAGTTAAACAGAAAAAAACTTGGGGAAAGCAAGAGGGTTGCAATGCAGAAATTGGCAAGAAAGGAACGGCCCAAGCATTTCTGTTATCAATAAAAACCTATTTTCAAAAAAAGCTAACAGAAGACCTCATATACCTGAGATTGAACACATTTTGTGATTCTAATATATTGAAATAAAAAGAGCATGGAAAGACAAAGAGATATTCAGAATCCAAGCAAAGAACCACGCTTCTCTTTGGTTTTTTATTTTTATTTTTTTTAAGTGTGTCAACTGGCTGAGTGGGGGTGGGGTTTGTGTTTTGGTAGTGGCCCTTGTAGTCAACCAGATCAAAAGGAACGTGAGAATTTGGGAACTGTGCACATATTTCATTTCAGGGTGGGAAGTGCCATGGTGACTGTATTTACATCAGTTTAGGCACTTGGGCAGGAAAAGTACCCTCAGATCTGCGTACTGTTTTAGCTGCGTAATTCAGAGCTGTTTTCGGTAGAGATCTTTGTGGCCTCTACCAGTTCAAATTGAAGGGCGAGTGTGAAATATTTCCCCCCCCCCTGAATGTTCCTCCAATTTTCAAAGAAAGTCCACACGTGCAAAAGCTCGAAGATCAAGGAGATGATGAAACTTAAAGTGTTCACCTGATGGTCTAGTTTTCTGCTTGCAGTGCAGGGCTGCATTGGAAAGATACGAGGATCTATTTGTAGCTCAAAATGAGAGAGATCTGGAAAGACTCTGTTATGTGAGTATGGTGAGTATACACTGAGTATCTCAGTCCACTTACTGAAAAATTGTGTGTGATAAATTCATTCCATTGGCTTTTCCTTCACTCCTAGACATTGGAATCACAGTTGAGCTCCGTATTTCATTAAAGACCTTTGGATCTCATTCTATTTCTCCATATTTAGGCTGTAATCCTAAAACTACTATGCTAGGAGTAACCACCAATGGGGGAAAAATGGGACTTACTTCTAAGTAAACTTGCCTTTCCCCTTTCAGGCCAAACCTGATTCATGTGACCGGAATGCAGCGAGTTCTCTTTAAGAGTTGATTAGACAACTGAGCTTAAATCAGACCCCCCTGCTGCATGGCCAGTTTTGAAGTAATAGTGATCTTTGTATGTGGTGTAAATGTGTGCCAAACTCACCATATAGCAAAGTCTGATCTTGTGTGATTGTTCCTTAGGAGGGAATGAAATAAATGATAATAAATAAAAACACACCACAAACGGCTGTAAGCAGATTACCCTCCCCAAGAGCAACCTGGGAATTTTAGTTCTGTGAGGAAGGGAGCACTAACAAATGAATTCTCCCCATATTTATCAAACTACATATCCCAGGATCTTTTTTGGGGAAACCATGGCTGTTTAATTCATTAACGGTCGGATGCCAATTCATATTCTTTGCAGGGCATCAGAGCCTGTGACTGAATTCAAAACCTAGCTTATGGTAAGAAAGAAACAAAAGGAAGTCAAGCATTTTAGCATTTTAGCAATTCTATGTTGGCATGGAGGCTGGCTGCTTGCTGTGGGGCTGTTGAAATAGATGCTGGGTGAAACTATCTGATTTTTTGTTCATCTGTGATGCTCCCAAATCTCTTTGTGCAGCAAATTTAGTGCAAACAATAGGACTGTTTCATGATTTAGGATGCCTCCTCCTCCTCCCTCTGCTAAGATCTCCTGGCTTGGCCCTCTCTTTTGATCAGAAATCAGCTTCGTAAGTGCAGTGAACATGGCCTTCTCAGTGGTGGCACCCTAATCATGGAACTCCCGTATCAGGACTCATGTCAATCTTACTTCCTTATTGCATTTTAAAATTTAAGGCAAAAGAAGGTAGTGTTACAGAGATGCCCTAAGATATCTATTGGTATCTTACTTGTGGTTTAATTATTTTTGTATTAATTTTTTTAATTAAAAGAATTCGGGGAGGTTGCAATGTGCAACAGTAATGGGAATCAGACTTTGAGGGCTCCAGTTGAGCCTTAGCTGGGGTCATGGGCTTTATAAATAAATGGAGACAGCTGACTGAAGCTGCTTTAGAGGGTCTTTTCCAGTCCTGCTCTTGCAAGTACTTTTATCTGAAAATACCAGAGATTAAATTTGAGACCTATCGCCACTTGCTTTTCCATCCAACGAAGGCCCCAATTTGACCCAATGGCTAGTAAAAAAAAAGATCAGGCATTCCAGGCATTCTACAAGAGGGCTGATGTGGGATGTCCTATCATAAGCCAGCACAAAGCAGTCTAATGTGTTCCCTGTTATGCCATTCATTCGTTAATTTTCAAAAAATAGAATTACATTTTATTAATCATTATTTACTTTATTTATGCATTAATGATAAATTAACACATTAATAAATAATAAAATATTTTATTAATCTTACTTAAAGTGCCACTAGAAGCTTACTTTCTTTTTAAAGCAAACACTGAACATTCTGGAAAGAGGCGGGGAATATCTTCACGGGAGCCTGGCTATTGCAGCTAGCGGCTTGGCCACGTGTGTGTGTGTGTGTGCATAAAGAAACCTTGAGGATTTCAACAATGTTGGTTGAGTAGCACAGACTGAAGTGCTCTGTACAAGTAGAGCCAGCATGGGGAAGGGGCATTCAAGGAAAGTGCTAGCAGAATGGAAGACAGCACTTTAGATTATGACAATGCTTTTCTCACTAGTTCCTTGTTATGGCTATTCTCAAAGCTAGAAGATCGGCTTTAGGAGATTTGGAGACATTATGCTCTTATGTCGAAAGAGCAGATGGGCTCAGCTCTTCCGCCCTAGGATATGAGGAGCACATGGTTCAAGGTTCCAAATTATCTCTTTTTA